GAAATAAAACGAATTTCGAACAGCAAAATGCATTTCGGGTAGTTAAACTATTAAAAGTCATGTTCAAAAAAAAAAAAAAAACTTGGCAAGCTTAGATATTCTCTCAGTGCCCCTGTAACCTGCCACCAACTATAGAGCCTCTGCACTCTACCCCGCAAGCATGGCATATACAGTGACTGTAACTAGGGGAGTCACGCAGCGCCGTCTATGTTGTGTCCACATCGCCTTTAGAGCCCCTCGCGGCGTCTCACTACTCCGTTTTACCTTACGTCCTGCGGCAGCGGACGGTACGAGCGATCCCAAACAAACCAGCTATGTGAGTGTAGCACGTGACTATTCTTTTTGCGCGTTAAGACACTTCAACATCGAAGCTGTTTATGGCTAGGCTTACGTGGATTCTTCATGTGCGTCAACAAAAACTCAGAGAAGGCTCGCACCGCCCTCTCCTTGTCATCGTTCGAAGCGCTTGCGTGCCAAGTTTCCTTCCTTCCGCCGGGTGGTGGTCCCTTCGCGCGTGTCTAGTTTCCTTAGGCTCCTCGTGAAGGCGCTAGTCCTCGACATGTGGGTGCGTACCTTTCATCAGGGGGACCACCGATCAAGACAATAAATGTGTTCGTACCTTTGTTCAAAATCATGTGTCACGTGTGTGTCGTGTGCTAAAGAGCTTCGCTGGTCATCCACCCATACAGAGTGGAAAGGCTCATGATTTTTTCTCAAAGGTCACGGGCAACCCAGAGCCTCGGATAATCTCCGATGGCTCGCATATAGCATACGCTGCGGCCGGACGTAAGGTAGAATATGGGCAGGAGATCGAACTATAGGGGGCGCTCTGACCCGTTTGTTTTCCCCACGCTCGGTGTTTACTCAACACAAGGCCTGTGCACATGCCGACAGGCCTTATGGGCATGGCCATGTCATCTTCTACAATAGAGCGCGGGGCACAGTTTAATGTAAAAAATACTAACAATCGACGAAGCGACGTTAAGTGCCGGATCTATCTTCTGAGAATGCGAGCTTGACCCACTTCGGCTTTTGTGCTAAGCTGGGATCGTGCATGGTGCATTGTTCATGCAGGCCGTCGTGGAAACAAAACAGCCCCTCCTCCCCCTCACCGGAGAACACGAACTCCAGCCGAATGCTGACGCCGCGTTCGGTTATGTCGGCCGAGCGCTGCGTCATTGTATTTGTTGTCCCCATCCGTGTAGTTGATAAGTCAACCGCTTGGGGCGTAACGGTCTGTCCTCCTCCCCAATAGCACGTGCTAACGCCAAGATGCAATCGTCTTCCGCTTTGCCGTGTACTCCCGTCGATCCTCGGCGTGTTGCCGCGTGGGTGTTTCGGGGATATCCGCTGAAGATAATGTAATAGGCAGGCCTCGTCTTTTACGCGGTACTGGATACACTGCGAAGTCGGGACATGAGCGCTCTTTTCGGTCACTTGTTGGATTGTGCGTGGAAGCCGCAGGGGTCTAGCTACGGTTCCTTGGTTGCAATGATAGGGTAGTCATTGTTGTCTCAACTGTAACGACTTCACTCTGAGTAAGCTACGATGATTTGCAGAATGTCGGTGGTATATCGGCATATAGTTTAAGGAAGACTCCAACGTCTAACCCAGCGTTAAAACCTCGAATGTACAGGGTGTTGCTCGCGCGAAACAAACTGAACTGCCGTGATATACTGATATAGGAAATGAATCGTAAACAAATTAATATTATTTGGAGTCGATTCTGGATTATTCTAACTGCATCGGCGTCCATTTGTGCACGCAACAGTCTTTCGTTTGGACGGTCGTGGTTTGGACTGGACTGAACTGCTTTCGTGAGACTGCTGCGCGGTTCCTGCCGTGCTCTTTCGCTCCTTTCGTTCGCTCGTCGCGTCCGCCTTCCACCCTAAAAGATTGAAAGATTTTTTTTTGGCACGCTTCTAATGACGCGAGAGCGGGAGAGGAGGGGATCGAGCGACAATGGCGGTGGCACGACGTGCGGGACAACGTGGAACCAATGTGCAGCGACGCCGCCCTTTTGTGCGAAACAGCCGATACTCGGGTTGAAAGATAGTTTCTTCAACGACAACAGTATGCGGACGGTTGCGAGGCTTTAATTCCCATCCTTCGCTGAGTCGGAACCCCTGCGCTTAATGCTAACTCATTTTGTCGACAATCAGCCTAGCGACTGCAGCGATTTCGGCATCATTCAAATCATAGAGCCTCGCGTGGCCTTGTCCCACTAGAGCGACAAGCAGCCGAGTCTCCTCGCGGAAATGATGGGTGCAATTTATTACAAACCTTTTTTACAATTGCCGATTACCAGTAAGCTCTAACAAAACATGGTTGGGAACGACGGGTACAGCGAGAAAGATTCATGAGGTTATCTGGTTTTGTTACCGGACAGAAGTAAGAACCTGCCGTGCTAACTGAAATTCTGCAATAAAGCAGAGCGTAATACCTTGTTTCTTTGCATTCTGGAAACAAGGACAAAACCACCTACAATTTAAAAAGAGTTTTAGCCGACGAAAGGCGAGGTCAGAAGGAATTTCGAACTACAGCCGACCTCATAGACTCAGAATCGGAACGTGAAGTGGTAATCATGTGACGTATTTAACTCGCGATCGAGATATTTTTTGTTCTTTTTTTATTTTTCTCATGCAATTTATGATGATGTACACCAAATTTTACAGCTTAATGGTTTGCCCCATTTCAAGCACATTCGCTCCACACTTGTAGTTTTGACAATAACATTATATTTGTCTCGAAAGAAAAAAAAACGAGCAGCAATTTGCCGATTTCCTTCATTATCCTTGCGAACAGTGTGGTAACAAAACATGTATCTTGTCTTTATTCACAGTGATGTTGCAAAGAAAAACTTGGTAATACTCGTATGCCTCCACGGCGCGAACAACATCGTGGATATAGCGTCTCTGAAAGAAATTCCTGTGCTCCTGCAGGAGGGGAACAGAAAGTTTCCGTCCCTTCCGGTCACACATCCTCCAGTTTTGACCCTTCCATTTTCCTACTCCTATTTCCCTCGAAATTGGGCCTGTTTTCTTCTATCGTTTCTCCTGCGCACTCTCCCAACGTGTGCGAGCTCGACACCTACTATATAGGAGCCCATTCACATGGTACCGTGTCACTACGTTTTGACTACTCTCCAGGGACTAAAGGCCCGTTCACACTCTTGCGACCGAGCACGACCGAGAGAGACCAGACCGGTTTTTAAGCCTCTTGCGATCTCTTAGAACCAGCTCCGCTGCAGCGCATCCGGTCCTAAGAAGTCGTAAGAGGCTCAAAAACCGGTCTGGTTTCTCTCAGTCTTACTCGGTCGCAAGAGTGTGAACGGGCCTTTAGGTAAACCGGAAATTGCTAAAAGATAAAACATTGCGTCGAAAAAAAAAGAAAACGTCTTTTGCTGGTTGGTGTTAACTGTGTCGCGCAATGTACAAAGATACAACAGTGACGCCTCTTAACAGTGTCCCACGGGAACCGCAAATCGGTCTCAATACTATTCGCAACTCCAACGACCTATAGATGGCGGGCCAATGGTTCCAAGATGGCGGAAGAGACGGGGATAGATTCTATCGTATTTTCCGTCTGCCTGCCCGCTGACGCTGGTCAGTGCGCTAAAATTAATTACTTGATTACAAATACGATGCGGTCAAGGTAAGGAACCTATAACACGTGGCGATGTTGATGTGCATTAAGAAAGTTCGCATGTTGATATTGAAAAGTTGCGAAGCGGAAAGCAACCATTCCTATTTTAGCGTGCTCGTTGTTTTCTTTGAAACTGCATGATGCCCAAGCAGATCAACGAGAACCATGCGACAACAACAGCACCACGGTTGATTGTCCCTGCCGCCGTGTCCGCCGCCGTCCCCGCTCATCTGGTTCTTCGTTCGTTCGCGAGAGGGCGAGTGGCGGGCTGCAGTTGCGAATAGCACTAGTATGCCGCAAGGAACGCACACGAAATTTCAGTCACAGCGCGCATCCAGCTGTGCAGAGCATTCGGTACGTAAGTGACAGTGATCGTGCGGCGCCTGGAAAGTGTCCTCGACTGATGTGTTCAGCCTCCTATGACGCCGATTCATCAAAGTGTTGTCAAAATGGCAAAAATAAAATATTAAATCAGTCAAAGTGCACTGAAGCAACTTGATGCATTGGTGGTGGCGGATTATAAAGACGGTCTGAGCGGCTGTTAAGGAATCTTTTTCGGGGATTCATTTTGATCATATACGTCTCATGCCGTGGTAATACTAACGCGCGGCTTCGACGTCACACTGCTGCGGTGGCGCTGCTGTCGGCGCATGCGCACATGCTTAACTTTATGCGAAAGTGGTTTCTGCGCACGCGCAGTGCCCATACTTCATGTGGGACAACGCGGCTTGCTTGTAAACAGTCATCGTACGGTGTAAACCAACACCCCCTAGAATAGTCGAAGCGCCGGGATCGTGACAGCATCACAGTGAGATCGAGCAAAGACGCAAGTTGAGCAGGGCCCAGGGCACGAGTCCAATCGCTAATGTTGTCGCCAACGTTACGAATACACGATTTTTTTAATTTTATTTTTTTATTTATTCTTAAATCCTGGATTGCTCCCGTCCACCGAAACCGAACAAGATACGATTACAGCGCCGCTTTTTAGCAGCGAGTCAAAACATGAAAGTTGCTTTATATTCCTACAGCGATATGGCGCCACCGGCCCTTGCGCTAGTCGACTGAACTCGTACGTGGTGCCGTGCGGTACCCGGAGTGGCCGCTGCGGGAGAAATGCCGGCGATACGATCGCGTCTAGTTCGGTTCTCGAACGGAGACACTTTTTTCAAAGCAGGCTCCTACGGCAGTTTCCCAACTGCATTGTTCGAGTAACGTTGGTTGGCACCATCCGAATGTAATGACGTTTGGTGGAAGAAGTTGAGGTTTTTCGTGGACATTGACTACGTGGTGTTGTATATAAACATGGCGGTGAAGATGGCATTCATCGAGTGCGTCGATTCCCCTTCCTGCTCCAGGCTGCAGCTTGCTGGGCGAGAAATGCGGTCCCCGCGAGATCGCATCGGGGCTCCTGGTTCTGTTCGGAGCCGCGGTGGCATTCCTGCCCACGCTCATAATGTCCTCGGACGCGACCACGTCGGCGGTGGGCATCGTCGTCACGCTGGGCTGTGCTTTCTGCCAAGCGCTGTCCTTTGTCATCCTAAGGAAGCTGTCTGACCAGGTATGGTGTATGACGGCGAACATCGTAAACCAGAACAATAAAAAAAGATTCCAGTTGTATATCCATGTCGAGATCAAACCGTCGTATGCAGAATTGTTGCGTTTTTACGACGCGTCTCTTCGTCGGCCTTTCCTGCTTTTTTTTCTGTATTCCGATCACCCGGAGGATGGACTACACTCTCAAGAAAAAAGGGTGTCAAAAGGTGTATTCTTACACCCTTTGTCCCATATAATACATCCCAGAATTTCAATTCGACGTACAGTGCCCTTAAGTCGAACAGAGGGCCCGAAATTCTACGAGGGGCTTTATAGCCGTGTGGTATTTTAAATAGCTAAAGTACGTATCAAAGACCACGTAAAGAAAACACCGAGTTTTAGAGCGCAGCTCTTAGGGGCCCGTTTCCAGCCTGAGCGGCGTCGGCGTCGGCGTCGCCGTCGGCGTAACCGGGGGGGGGGGGGGGCGGTCACGTGACCCCCCCCCCGAGGTCACGTGACCCCCCCCCCCCCCCCCCGAGGTCGTGACACCCCCTCCCCCAAGGTCACGTGACCCCCCCCCCCTAGGTCACGTGCCCCTTCCCCCTGAGGCGACGTGACCCCCACCCCCTGCGGTCACGTGACTACCCGCAAGTGACGTCACTCCCCTCAGTACCCTTCCCTACTCCTCCTGAAGAGCTGCGCTCCAATTCGGCGTTACAGGGATTTGCAAACGGCTTTCATTTTTTTACACTAGGGTCAAGAAAATCCGGATTATTTTTTTCGTGTTCAGTAAAACGTACATTAGCTATTTTAATAAGTTGTACCACACGGCTATCAAGCCCCTCGACTGTAGGGCGCTGTATGTCGAATCGAAGTTTGGGGGTGTATTATATGGGACAAAGGGTTTAAGAATACACATTTTGACATCCTGTTTTCTTGATAGTGTATTGCGCAGACTCAAGTCTGGAAGCGTTGCGTGCGGTGACGCATGGCGTGTTGACACGCGACGCGTCCGGAGATGCACTTGGAGGCGCAGGTGTTTGGCAGGTGGCGGACACTGCAGCATTCCATGTCGTTCAAAGGCACGCCTTCGGTCGACGCGAAACCTGGGTTCGTTTCCATTAAAAAAGCAATTTTATCTATTAAAAAAGCTTTATATTCAAAGAAGAATGAACTGCCCTTAAAAATATGTTGATACATTTTAAACCATCAAATGGCATGTCTTAGTGGTCGGCTAGGTAGATCCGCTGCTTGTCCATCGTCGAAGTGGCGAGCGAGCTCTTTTCATTTCCACTTTCGAAAAAAAGCTGTACTCAGTAGAGCATATTATTTATATATGCTTAGCCAGAATAACCGAGCGGTGGGTTATTTTGCCACAATGAACATATTGCTAAATTACCGAAGCATCAAGGAGAATGCTGGGAATATGGGTCTACGCGCCGCATGTTCTGGCATCCGCAGCTGTAACTGTTCTAAAGCACATGAGAAGTCATTCTTCGTAAGGCGTGATGGACTACTAAGACGGCAAGGTTAATAAACAGGCGAGCTGCGGTTAACGTTACCTACGATTTTAACCGGAGAACGACTGAGACGCGTGTGTTTGTTCCTTGCCCTCTAGTCGTCCGTCGTCTCCGGTTAGAATCGTGTGTAACTGTTCCAAATTCGTTTACGAGACATCCGAATGAAGTCCCGTTCACACACTTGCGTTTGCTTAGGACTGAGCTCTTGTCACCTCTTACGACAAGAGAATAGACTGGCACGCGGGCGCCATCTATGATGTGTCCCTACTGCATTTCTCTAGAGCGAAGGTTTTTGCGGTATTTTCGAAATAAAATGCACGTACTATTTCTTTTAAAAAATTATGTTTTTTTCAAACGTTGTCCAAAACTTTCCAGGACACGAAAGATATGAAAAATTACGAAATATCCTAAAAATGCGAGTGTTCCATGACTACCGGATAGACGGAGTCAGTGTGTTCTCACATCGTAATAGATCTTAAAGGGTTAAAACACACGCGTTTGTAAGCAGTCGCAAGTGTGTGCCTTTAGAAGGCTGCACATTCTCATGACAGACCAAGTACAAACTCGTTGTTCCCACTCCCTGACCCTTACGCCTGCAGGTGTCCCCCCTTACCGTGACGATCTGGACTCTGCTGATCACGTCCGTGCTGTGTCTTCCTCCGGCGGGCGTCATGGGTCAGCTCAACCAGATCGACTTAATCCCAGTGGACCTGGCCTACGTGGCCGGTTCCGGCATAACGGGCCTCCTCTCCGCGCTTCTGCCGGCCATCGCGTGCACCATGGCCGAAGCCGGCAGGGTGGCCATCGCCACAACGTCCAGCGTCGTCTTCTCGTTCGCCCTCCAGGCCGCCGTGCAACTCAGAGCTCCCACGGTCTGGGCCCTCGTGGGTGCCGCCTTCATTGTGGCAGCCGTTGTCTGCTCAAACCTGAGGTTCGAGCGCTCGGATGTCAAGCAGAAGCTGACGGGCAACGAGCCTGGCGCGGACAACGTGGCTGGGCCTTTGCCCGTCAAGGACTACGGTGCTCTGCACATGGCCATACCACCAAAGCCGCCCTGAACGACCGTCGTCACCCATGGAACTTTACTGCACCACTCGTGGACGTTCCTCATTGAGTCTAGAGACATTTCTTGGATGTATAAATGTCAGCAAGATGGTCTTCGGAATAGCCTTCTGCTCGATGTTAGGCATGCGGTTAACTGTATGCGTGACATTAACGACAGATTGCTCTCCTCGATCGTGTTCCGTAACAAAATGAGCGTGCTGACAACTTTATTCGGCCCCGGCGATCGGCTGTGCATGGTTCTGGTGGAAAGCCTTGCTGGGCAATGGCATGCGTTATCTTTCTGGGGAAATTGCCAAGCTCCTAAGATATTAAACGGCTGCGTACATCCGACCCTCCATGTTGGTTCAAGCCTATAAAAGAAAGTCAAGGTCAAATTGGTTCAATTGTCACGATGCCTAAACATGTCTACGACATGTTTACCACTCTATACCGTCCATCCATCGCAGCGTCCTCGAAGTCGTAACGAAGTACATAGAAACAGACGGTGTCTCATTTGCAACCTCATGCTATCGCTTGTCACAATCCTGGCGGCTGGCTGTGGAAGTGCCGGAAAAGACGGCGCGTACACGCAAGGTCGTTGTCATGGCGATGTCCCAACTCGTGAATGTTGTGATTTCTGTCGACTGAACGCCTCTATAGCTAGCTACTGCAGAACAAGCGCCTGCAAAGTCTACGTTTGCTGTTGTGCCACCACAGGAGCTCGTGGAGCAGGGCGCGGAACAGTTATGACATCCAATCCGGAAGTCAAGAAGAGATAAATGAAGACGCTGTAAACGCGCGAGTTGGAGAAGCGTTTCACGCGTCACAGCTTAAACGCCCAAGCAGCGGTAATATAGTCCACCATAATTTGCGGTCAATCGTATCTTTGTAGTACAGGGCTCTTCGCTTAGTGCAGCCATACCGGAACATTTCCATTGAATGCAACGAGGTGTGAGGTACACGCCACTACAGCTCCCATTCAGTTTGAATCCGGCGGTAGGTGTACGACTGATATGATGCTCTAACGAAAGATTAAATTGAGGGCAGGCAACGAAGTAACAATAAAACAGTATTTGTGTCGTCGTATGCAGCGCATCGTATCCTAGAGCAGCGCTTCCCAAATATCGAGCAGTGGACTCCAGGAGTTTGTGAGAACAAAGAGCGACTTCCACACTGACGCGGAAGTCGCTCTTTTGAAGGAAGTAGCGTTCATCGAACAATCTTGCCTGGCATTTTTAAAACAGATGTATCAGCAATGTCCCCTGGAGACGTTATTTAATTGGAGGTGAGCTCTGAGTATTGTAGACGACTAAAAATCCGATCATATATACCAAAATTCATTGCCGTGTCATTCGGTTTTTTCGAGTTGGACTGATCTTTCTTCTCCGTGCCTTCATGCTTCCCGCCCGTGTTTGTCTTCTATCTTGTGTACGTCTTTTTAGTGCTTTTAACCATGGTTTAATACCTTCATGCTTCGAATGACTCGAATCCAACAACAAACAGAATTGCTGATCAGCTACCCTTACGACTTCGACGCTCGCCAACTGTACCTGAACTAAGCACCTTGACGTTCCACATGCAGCTCCACTCTTCACGTCGATTGAAACTCTCGTTCAAGTGGCGGACCCACCCTACTTGCTCATGATAAGCTGATCAACTTGGGGTCAGTCCATATATACGAATACAAGATTGTGATACTGTCTTTGTGCCTTGTGTCTTCAGCTGTATTTTATTTATTTATTTTCGCGTAAATTCGTAGTTATTTTGATCTGGAATAATTTGTGTATTTCCGTGAAGGCCTTTCGAGCATGCTAGAAGGTCCTCGACAGTGCAGTTATTAGCTAGGTACAAGATACATCACATCGGGACCTAGGTGCATTTAGCAAAGCGAAGACACAAACATATGTAATTATATGTAATTTTTTCTCGGTAGCTCTAACTGCATAGTATACAATTTGTAGTAATTTGTAACTGCATGTTACTGTTCTGTATGTACTTTTGTTTAAATATACAGAGGAAGGAGGGTGGACTTATACTACCTGCATACGAGTGCTTAAAGATGTAGAGCTCCAGGACACTGCGGTATGGACTTTTCCAGGCAAGCGCTTCATAAACGCAAGCAGATATGATTATAATATTCATTAAAATAATATATCTCGGATAAAGTCTCCATTTCTGAAGCACATTGGTTGATGTAAAAGCTGTTCTCTATTCTTTTATCAGAAGCTCGCCTGTTTATAAATGTGCCTCATTAGCCGTCATTCGTGTTCGTTTGCAAGACTCTCTATTATATATGTACACTAAGCGTTGATCTTCCCAATTGAACTTTAGAAGAATATTTGTTTCAAGCAAACAACGTACTTTCAGCGCTTAGGTTCTTTACTATAATGCAACACCTAAATCTAGTGCAAAAACAAAATTAAAATTTTTTCTTTCATTTTTGCGCACTACAGATTCAGGTGTTACATTATGATTATCATCATCTCGCCTTCACACTCGCTGTTTGTTCATTAGGTGTTTATGTCATCTTCGACGTTTCGGCACTCGCATGCTAATATATGCATGCAAACTTCAGCACTCGCACTGTTAACGTAGATGATGGCAAGAGATTCGAGTCTCGTGTACCTTCTCTTTCGTCCTTTCATCTCACCATTCCCTTCCCCAACTCAGAGTAGCCATTTGAGATTAGGCGAGCGAATCCAGCAAGTAGGCTGGGCGTTGCCCTCCAAGCAGGCGATTTACAAACCCATCTCTCGGGTTCTGTTTCATTATCAGGCTCTATCTCTTGAGCTGACGAACAATGTTCTTGAAATTTAAAGGTTTTAAGATTAAATACTTTAATGTGACAGGTTTTGCCTATTATATAAATGCAGTGTTCCTAGTTATTCTTTCCAGCTTATCATGTTACGAGGATATCAGCCGTACAATTACTGTTATAAAATTGCTCCTCGTTTGTCATTTATATTAAACAAAATGTGAATAGAAAAGCCACCTTGGACGAAGCTGAACCGGAACCTAGGTACAGAGTGCGGCAGTATAAGCTGGCCAAGCGGCGTTCAGGTCGGGCCGCCACAAAAGCCATGTGGAGAGCCCTAGGTACGCTAAGCTCTCTAAAAGAGGCTGGAATGGACTGACACACTTCCCCATTGTCACGGCGTGGCAGTAGGTTTCATAGCTAAATGCCGAGGGCACCGCATACAGCATTTGGCTCTTTTAGGATAGCATTAAAGCTGGCCAGCTTATAGACGCTTTACACACGCGCCAAATTACAGCCGCCATGGCTGACCTTCTTTTGTCTTACCGAGATGCCGAACAACTGAAACGGTAGTTGACGATCCTCTACGAAAACCGATGCTTTAGAAAAGGACACAGTTGAATCTCATGTGGCAATAACCTGGCCTGCTATGGTAACCCCTATGAAAATGGTTAATGCCATTTGAAAGTCATATTATTGCCAAATGGCAACAGCTGTTTACAAATAGTCAATCAGCAGGCAACAGATGTTAATCGTCATTGAGACGTCACCCTGCTGATCCGGATAGCCATTTCGCCACCGTCAACTTTTTGCCGTTCTATTGGTTATTGTCGGTGTATCATCAGTGTATCTACATGTTAACGTTAAATGGCTAAAGGAGGCAATCAAAGGACTATACATTTTATAGTCTTTTGACTGCCTCCAATAGCCAATTAGCATTAGCATGTAGATACACTGGCAATGCACCGACAATAACCAATAGAACGGCAAAAAGTTGACGGTGGCGAAATGGCTATCCGGGTCAACAAGATGACATCTCAATGACGATTAACATCTGTTGCCTGCTGATTGACTGCTCTTAAACACCTGTTGCCATTTGGCAATAATACAAAATGGCATCAACCATTTTTATAAGGGCATAATTATCACATAGACGTCATTTGATCGAATTTCGTGACCATTTCGCCATTGTCAACCCCTCGTAAACTTTAAGCTGGCCAGCCGAAAAACTGCAATAGTTTACATGGCCTACCATTGACTCCATGCCTGATACACATAGTGCCGGCTTGCAATATGGGAAGAAAACAAAGATTGAAGGACAATTTAAAGACCCAAAATTTATTTATCACAATGTCATTAAAATGACGTGTTTTTTTTCAAGACTAAGTTAATCACCCAAATGTAAACAATGAGTGAAAAAATAACCTTTCCTTGCTTCCTGACATGTCTGTAAGGTGTCAGCTGAAAGAAGAAAAACATTATAAATTAAGTGGGCATATAACCAGAAATATTCTTGCAGCACGTTCAAAAATATGCACAGAAGAACCTCGTTCACATGTTTTCTCGGCTGTTATGTTCACGGAAACCGGTCCTATCGAACGTCCAAAAGTATATATGTGTTAGAATTACAGGCTTCATGAATTTCCTTCTTGGTTCTTATGCCCAAACACTGCCACTCAAGGTGGCGGGCATGACTACTAGGAACACATACCCTGTTCCTTTTGCTTTACTCCCTTTATTTTACCTCCTTGCCTCTCTGCACTGTGTTTCTTGTTTGGTCCTGTATGACAATAAGAGATTCAGGCTCTCACGACACCCCATTTTTCTTTACCACCTCCATGCCACCATGTTCAAGCAGTGCTGATTGCATCAAGCCCCACTGCTTTGATGTGGCATACAGGGTGCAGTGATTTGTTTGAGGCAGCTGTGGTTTAGCTCGATGGGCTCAGAATTTTTACATCCTTATATTTCAATATTTTTTTAACTGCAACGATAGACAACGCATCACTGCAATGGCGCGGCTGTCGGCACAGCACATGTACACATATGTCTGCTCACACGAATCTAGTTCCTGCGTATGCAGTGCCCATAGCTGCTGTGGGCAAACACAAGCTTGTCTGTAAACAGTGTGTTACTTATAGTTCAACCACAATTTTAAGAAGTGTTGAAAAAATTGTCAACATATAAAATAAGGCAATCTTTTTTACAGCCATAAAAGCTAAGGTAAGATAAACAGAGAATACAGCTTCCTGAAACATCTATAGCTATCCCAAGGGCATTATCAGTTGTTACATCTTTGCTCATGTCATGATCCTTTATTGTGACTGCATAAAGATGCAGCAGCAGGGTTCTACTGTATTTCACACAATGTTTGAATGTGCAATAGCTTTAACTTCCACAACACATCAGCCAACCACAGGTTGTCAAAATGTCAACTCCACAATAATGTAATAAGTATGAATACAATAATAATCCCTGGAAAAGGGGTACAAGGGGGAGAAAGGTCAAAGAGGAATCTCCTTTGTCCCCTTGTTCCCCATTTTATTTGATGTGATTATTATTGTCATTCTTGTCTTGAATAAAAGGGTCTACTCGTGTCTCTTAAGAGAGGGAAGCAGCTTACCTGGAAGAGCATAGCGCCCCCGGGACAGAAATCGAGAGAGGCTGTCCTCGATTTGCTTCCCCACATTGCTGTACTCCGTGAAGGTGCGAGCTGAAAGAGCAAATCAGAATTGCAATTTAAAATGATAATAGCCCCTAGAAAGCTACACTCAAGTATTGGTACCCTTTTCCTCATTGTCCAGTTCTGCCAAAACGGTCATTCATCCATTTGGATGGTGAAATTCGTTCATGCGCATGCAGCTTGTGAGCACTGCCATGTTGTTATTGCGTCATTACTTGAATTTAATGTAAATATTCACTTCACCTTAGACAAAGATTTATCTATTACTTTTGATAAGATCTTTGGATGCTTGGCAATTTTAACAGCAGCCTGGGGGGCGCACTCATAGATGCACCACTCTTCAATCAGTTTGGGGAGTGCGTCTTTAAACGCTCACTCTTTTTATCGTACGGGAGGAAGCACCATCTATCCCCTAGCATCGGAAATAATTTTCCTTTAGAAATTAAAGCTATGATGGTAGCACAAGAAAAGTTTCGTACAAAAAAATATAGGCAAAATAGGGACAAAAAAAAATTTTTTTTTGGTCATGGGTCCCCAGTCACGGGGTCAAGAAATAGATTAATCTTGTGTGTTAACATTTTTTTCAAAGCAAAAACATGACAGGACTATGTTATCAAGTGTATAGCTCTTTTTACTGTGGTCATAATGAGGTGGCATAGCCTTTGTCATTTGCCCAATAATGCTCAACAAACACAAAACTAAAACAAAAATTCTTGCAGACCAAGAGCCATTACTACATGCAATGCAAGTTTCGAGGGTAAACATTTTGGCAGAGGCCTGCCTGGTCGGGAGAAAGCTTAAAAACTCAAAAACATCCGTCCACACACCCGCATCTGTGTTCCCTACATAAAGGGGACTAGCGAAGCGCTGTCATGTATGCTGGTAAAAGAAAGTATTCAGGTGTCCCACAAACCGGTATCAACACTCTGACGTATGATGCTGCGAATTAAAGGTCATCCCTCTAAACAAAGAGCGCAGGGCATTGTATATTCAATTCCATGCTACCTACATTTGAAAAACAAAGAACTTCCCAGAAAGAATTCAACAACACAAACACAACTGCAAATTCGACCACGAGCGCAGCGCTGTTGCAGAGCACTGTGAGGACAATGAATATCGCATCAGCTTTGCCAACACCCTCATAAATGTTGAGACAAACTTCTGCCAGCAGCTTTTTATAGTCATGGCATATCCAAACAACACCAGGAAACATCAATAGGTCCACTGGCACATTGCCATCATGCTACGTGAACGGACTAGGCCACCTAACGAAGTGAAAAAAAAAGAGACTATCGTAGAAGCAAACGAAGCTGTTGTCCCCTATCTAGAAGCAGTCACCCCTGAAGAAAAAAACAAGCTGTTTTTGAAACGTTGGGGCCTTGTTGTAGGATATGGTTGGTTATTTTTTTCAAATTCCAATGTATGAGTTTTGCATTTGTTTGAGTCATCATTCACTTTTTTACCATATTTACCCGCATCATGAACACACCTCTTTATTCTGAAATTGACATATTTCGGGGGTGCGTTCATTATGCAGGGTAAATTTCTGCATTTACACACTTCGCGAAAATGTAATTTTAGGTGGCAGTATGACACGGCAAGGTACTGTGGCATGTCTCCACTGACGGAGGCGCATCGACGGCTGGTCGTGGGCGCGCTACAATAACCATGTTCTACAATTTGAAAACCTTTTTTTAGGGTGCTTTCGGTGTGCCTTCTG